TGTGCTAGTGAGAGAGCTTCTACTTGCTTGCCTTGCTTGCAGAGGGTCCCTCTATCTTGTCTTGGGGGAGATCCCACACTGTGCTGAGGAATGCCACAGATACCTGAGAATCATCTGTGTGTCTCTGTACAGTTCTGCTTGTACCATGGAAGCATGCTGTGGGAAGAATATCTGTGCAGCTCCTTCTGACATCTCATCTGGTTTAATAAAATGATAAAAGGAAACAAATCTAACATGAGTGCAGTAACTTTGGTAGTCCAGGTTCCTTGCATTGCCACCAGCAGACAGACCATACTGTGTGTGTAGCCATACAGACTTGGGGTTAGTCCTCCTTAACGGTGTTCTTCAGCTAACAGGTGACGGTTACTAATGGAACTGTGTTTTTCCTTACTGTCTTTTAAACATTTCCCCCGTTTCGGGGTCAAATATTTACTTTAAATACTGAAATGGTCAGTGTGCTTACAATTCATACTTCAAGAACTTCTTTTACATGAACTACTACTACTGGCTTTGGTCTCATTTAAGACAATTAGTTAGCAGTTATGCACTGAAGTGTGAGTTATTTACTTGTCCTAGTAGAAAATAAATATATGCTCATTCAGTGATGTGTGGGAGCTTAGGTGCTCCTCTATGAAAAGAGATTCTTTTTTTTGGAAAATTAAATTGTTCTTTGTATCATTTCTTCTTTGTGGCACAGCTGGTACACCAGCGATGAATACGTCAGAACTGGAACACATACATAGGCTGCAAATATTCTTGCTAAATCTCATCATCTCTGACTTCATAACGTGGTATCTCAGCTAAAAAAGAAACTATTTCTTGTTTCTAGGAAGGGAAGTTGGGGAGATTTGGAATAAGATAGTAAAACAAATTTGGGAGTAATAGTGGGGAAGCATAGGGAAGAATTAATATGAGAACCATGGGTTGCTTCTTTCATTTTTTTTCCCCAGAAGAAAGGAGGAAACTTGGATGAAAAGCATTTCACCTGATGATCATTAAAGGAACAGCAGTTGCAACTCCAGTTTTCATTTAAGTCTTTGAATGTGGAGTGTGTTGGAGGATGTAGGTTTGCTGTTCTTCAGAGCCCCTTGAGTGTCCCTTTGATTTAGTGTCATGTAGGCTTTTCCCATGCAAGTGCATTTGAGAGATCTGTCTGTATGTCCTGAAATGCTTTTGAGGCAAGTATTTGACTTAGACTTTCTGTAGATAATAAAGATCTATGCAATAAATTTGGTTATAATAATATTTAGAAATGGTGATCCTATGATACTCATTGATTTATCTGTTCATTTATTTTCCTACGGAGTACAGGAGTTTTGAGGGTGCTTTTCAGATGTAGTTAGAACCTGTAGTCTTGTTATGACGTAGTTGGACCTGTAGACTTGCTATGCTGTTCCTCTGAGTAGCTTTTCAATATTTACAGCCTCAATTTCTTCATTTTGCACTTTTCTGCAGTGCTGAATATCTTATAGCATGGCATTTATCCTGGCAAATATTTGGCATGGCCCTTTAGCTTTGACTTTTGAAAACTCATTCTTTACTTTTACGTCAAACAGCTCCGTTTTTGAAGTAAGCTGTTACATGAATGTTTTGCAGTTTGTTTCTACACAAGCAAGTTCGGTTAGCATCTGCTGCGATAGTTTCCATTAAGTTTATGATGTTAGGTAGTGAAGGATCTAAACCTCTTAGGATGTTTGAAATATGTGAGAATCAGTCAGGACAATAAAAACATCAGTGAATTCCATAATCAGCAAGAAATTTAGCCTGAGGAAGTAGCAATAATGGATAATGCTGTGGTATGTGATTCATTTTCCATTAAATTTGATTCACTTGTTGTGACTCATAATAAATCACCGATTAGGTTTACTATGATCTTCTTTCCACTGCCAAAAGAAACAAAGATGTCCGATAGAAACAACCAGAAAACTTGGTTTAGCCTGGGAAATCTGTTTAGTTGTTGCTTAACTGGAGGCATTTCCGTCATTCATGAAAGCTCCCATTAAGCATTTCACTGTAAATTCCTGGTTGGAATGAATGGTAAATACTTAAAATACCAGAAATGTCACCCACAGCTTTGATCAATTAAAGCAACACTGAAGTCCTGAAGCAAATAGTTGATACAGGTTAGAAGAAGGATATGATGAATGCATCTAAACTATATTTGCAGTGTGACGAGTTCCTTCTTCACCCTCTGAAAATTGTTGTATTGTAGGAATCATTTGGGATAAGAAATGTCTTACACACAAACAACAACCAAAGTTATTCAAAAATCAAATCTTACCACTGAGAAAAAAATCAAAGGTAGAATCTTGGTCTTTGTTTTATGCTTCAGCTACTTTAAGAAGAATATTCTGTATTTTCACTCTGTGCATTTAAATTAATGCATTTGACTTGCCTTTGATACTGTGCAACAAAAAAATCACCTTGCCAAGGCTCCCAGGGCATTATAACCCTTCCCTGTCATTGCTACATCTGAGGTCCTTGTGTTGCAGCCATTCCTGTGTCTGGCTGTCTTACTGACCCAGCCTGGCTCTGATCCACAGGCTGACTTTCTGATTTGACTTCAGACCTGCCCAGTTGCTGTGCCCAGACCTTGCTTGGTGATTGCTGCTGGTGCCTCACCCTTGCTGCTGTCTGCAGACCTAATCCTGACACTTATCAACTGGTACAACATCATAACTCAACACTGACCTGCCTCATCTGATGTCAGAAGGCCTGGACCGTGCTTGAGGCTGGCCACCATCGCTGGATCCATGCTGCTCACCTTGCCAGGTATTGCAGAACTGTGTGGCTGACAGTGATGCTGCTGCCAAGTCTGCTGGCTGCTTCCCCAGCTCCCCAGTCTGGGAGCTCAGCCTGCCCCTGGGGCTCCCTGAGTGCACCTCTGCATGCTGCATCTGCCCAACTCCCGCTGCCTGCTGCATTGAGCTGGCTCAAATGGAAGCATACACTGAAATCTAATCAAATTAAGGAAAAAAAATCATCTGAACTTATCGAAAGGAGTCTCAATCCTCAGGTGTTTGTGGGACTAGCGTGCAAAACTGTGTTAGGGTTGCTTTCTGTTGACACTGTCCTCTGATTCTTAGCTTAATATTTTGATTCCTGCTTCTGTGCTTCCTAGCAATTGCCAAGTCAGATTGGTCTCTGGAGCTTAATATATTTCTAGATGCTGATCTTTTCTTCTTTCACATGGTGCTGTGCTTGTGCTCCAGCCACTTGGCAGCTTCATCAGTGCAGCGACTGCAGAAGGGGGACTGTTGGTGTGCTCTGTATTACAGATGCTGCTCTCCACATAGAAGCTTCTGCTTCCCATAGCTACTTATCCCAGTTGTGGAAACAGTCCTCAATACCTTCCTTAAAGGAGCAGTCGCTATGACAAAGCTGTTTAAGTTGCTGGTAACATGATAGCAGTATGTTCTGTGGATATGTCCTTGTGTACCTCATTTACACACTCAGTTTAATATGTGGGAGAGTTTAATTCCATATTTCTCTTTCTTTGCCAGTTACCCAACGGGGTATGAACTCCCGGTTACCTTTTGTATTATACACATGGAGTATCGCAACTGTAACTTTACCATGAAATACAAATACAGAAGCCAAAGCCAGAAGAAAATCCTTGGCTGACTATTTCAGGAACAGTTTTTGATGTGTTCATATTGAACGCTGTAACCTCTGGCTCTGAAGGCCCAGCCCCTAGTGATGTTAATGTGGTGGGAAGGGAAGAAGGGAGAAAAAAACACATCGTCTACCCTTCAAATGATGCAATGAAATCCGAATTCTGTGTAACTGGAATGTAAGTTCAGTGCTTTGAAGCTGGATGAGACACTTCCAGTAGATTGTTATCCTTTTTATGTTTCATGAATCACTTAAAGCTGCATGCTGTGCCATCTGCTAACAGTTTGAAGCCACTGAAAACAGTATTAACAGTTTTGTCTGTGTTACTTAACAGGAATCTGACTACATGCACAAAGAGCTTGACGTAGACTTAAGATACCAAAAATGGTAAAAGCTGTGTCCCGTTGAAAGGAAGGAATCTGGTGTAAATGACAGGGCTCGGTGTGCTGCAGAGATCAGGTCTTCTCCTGTTGTGAGGGAAGTCAGCAGTGGTTGTAAATGAGATGATGCTGGAATTAGAATTGTGACATCAGAGCTGAAAAATGGAGCTCAAAACCAACAAGGTACTCAAATTGGAAGAACAAGTAAAGTGGCCTTCATCTCACAGACAGTTGTTTTGCAGCTTCTATATATAGAATCATAGAATCACCAAGGGTTGGGAAGGACCTCCAAGGTCATCCAGTCCAGCTGTCCAACTACCACCAATATTTCCTCACTAAACCGTGTCCCTCAGTACAACTAAACAGTTCTTGAACACCTCCAGGGATGGTGATGCCACCGCCTCCCTGGGCAACCCATTCCAATGTATCACCACCCTTTTGGAAAACAAATGCTTGCTAATATCAGACCTGAACCTCCCCTGCCACAGAACTACTTAAAACTACTTGGTTTTCATGTTAGATGGAGCAGGGTCATTGTAGTGATGTTCATGCAGTGTTTGTATCTGGATAACTGCATCATATGTTTGCTGCAGTTCTTTCCCGACAGTGAAGTGGCTTCTCTGTCACTGCAGAGCTAAATTTGCATCACACAGTTTATTGCACAGACAAACACAATATACGGTGCACAGAGTTCAGAGGTCACAACTGCTGTAAAGTTGTAATGATTGTGCTCACAGCAGCAGTAGGTACGTTGTATGCTTCAGGTTCTATTTTAGATTTACAGTTTGAATTTACAATCCTCATATCTTGGTAAATAAAATTCCTTGCTATTTGGCATAGCCTAACTCTAAAGATAGCAATCTTGACTGCAGTGAAGCCAAAGTCCAAATGGGTGTTCTGCAATAAAGGCTGTGTTTGTCTGTCTGAGATCCTTCATTTTGAAATGGCACATTCAAATACTTCTTCCCCAAAGAAAATAAAAAATACTAATGGAGGAATCAGGCACAGTATCAGATGCATCAGCTGCTCCACTGCAGAGGACTGATGCGGCCTAGTGGTTTTTAATGACAAACAATATTCCCAGAGAGTTTTGATTAGGTTTGGATTATGTCTCAGGCACACATGTGAGGAAGTTGTTTGTTATCCTTCTCTTCTGAAGATATAAATAATGGTGGAGCTCAGTTTACAGCTTTATGGCTGTAAACTGGTTGTCACACCCTATCTGATTATATGCATCTATGTATAAATATTAGCATAAGGGTTTTTTCTCAGCATTTGACATTGATTCCTGATTCTGCAAATACTGATGTGCATACAAAGGTCCTAATGAAGTCCGATTTCTCACATGAATAATTTGTGTAGGTGTGGTAAGGCTGATCAGTAAGTAATGTGGTTGGTTCCGTGCCTTTCAGTAGCCATTTGCTGTATTGCTAAACAGTTTTCATCAGAAATTCTTGCAGATAAGAAATATCTGTCATGTTTTTTCTCCTTTTGTAAGTAAGTTTAAGTCCAGAACATCTCCGAGAGGGCAATGAGTTAAAAATGAGATGTTTAATTTAGGCTGGGCTTGAGTCCATATTGTTCTCAGTCCACTGTTTATAAGAGGGTTTTATACTTTTCTGTTCTCTTGCTTATTTACAAACTTGGTGAAAGTTCATTGTTTAACGTCACTATTTTATCCTGCTATACCGTGGACTGAACTACTAAAGTAGAAATGCTTCTATGTACTGTTCCCGTCCTTTATTTTTACCTAAACATTTCTTCTTTCCTTGTTGTTTTGCTATTCTTCCATTTCCTTTCTTGTCCTCCTTTTGTCCTCAAGTTCATAATAAAGCAAAACCCAGAATAGAGGATAATATTTATGGACACAAATGCAACTCTGAAATTACAAAATGCTAACTTATTAAAATAGTCTGATTTTTGTCTGAAGTACTAATTGATCTTGCCCTGATGTACACTTCCACTTTTTCTTAATCTTTGAAGATAAAGAATGCAGTAGTTGATATATCTGTTTGGTTTTTTTTTTCCCTTGAAATCCCATTTCTTCTATTGTATAGTATTGTATTGTATAGTGTGTATAAATAGGAGGCAGGGGTCACTTCCTCAGGAGCAGTGTCATCTTTTTGTCCAGCTTCCTCAGTGGACTTTGAAAACATTGCAAGTGTTCATACCTTGAGGCATATTTTGGATGTGATGTACTACATACGTGGTTAGTACTCACGCTGTTAATGATACTTCACCACACACCAACTACATCTGCACTTGCATTTGCTTTGCTTAAAAACTACCTTGGGATATAGCAAAGCAATTAGTTTTTCTCATGTCTCGTGGGTACAACTTGCAAGACCAAATTAAGGCTGGACACGCCTTTCTTTGGTGACTGCAATTACAATGTTAATAGATGCCCATAGATTTTACTGACTGATCCTTATTTTTTTATTGGGTCATGTTGCAAGCTTAGTGTTGTCTGATGTGGCCAGGAAGACTTGTGATACTGATGGGTGGGGATCTAGTCAGCTGGAATATCTCATTTTTCCAAAGATAACATGCCAGGAACTGCTGAGGATGAGCTTGCAGAGACAACTCTTTCTCTGTGAACCAAGCAGAGGCAGTACCAAGTCCAGATGTCACCCAGCGCTTCTCGCTCACGAGTGCCTTCACAGTATCCTGCCTTCAAGTTGTAAGCTCAGAGAAAACAGAACTGATAACATGAGGTCCTCTCTAGCTATTTGATCTTCATGTTCTCAGGCTGTATCTACATAAGCTACAGCATAGCTGTAAGGCAATAAAGGTAAATAAGGTAAGCTTATTTGGAGTAAAAATGCAGAACATGCAGCAGCGGCTGGCATCCATGCCCACATATAGTAAAGCACTGCTGTAGCTTGCTGGATTTGTCTGCTCTGTGCTGACTTCACTTAGTTGGAGGTCTGAGGAAGGTAGGTGCGGCTGAGCACTGCTCATAGCCAGGTTATAACTTACAGGGTCTGTCATGATTCAGCTTTAAATATGCAAGAAGAAGTTAACTTCTTAATATGATCAGTGAGAGAGCCCTTGGGAAGAGTAATCTGTCTGGTGTAGTCTTATGTTAACTGAGTAAGAGCATGTTAAATTAATCACTGCCTCTTACATGTTGACACTGATTAGGCTAACACTGCTGTTGTATTATTATTTTTAATTACTTAAATAAGGAGATGGGCTCTCGTGTTCAGTTACGTCACTTCTCTAATGGTCCCTTTTTTTTGCGTCTTCATCTACCCTCCTTGGCAGCTGATAATAAAGAGAGCAGTTGTGCCTGCAGTTTGGACATTATCTAAATTGTTAACAGGAATGAAAAGAATCTAACGTTCTTGTTTTTCCTCAAGACTTGCAGCTAATGGCTTCCTGTTCTTGTTTCGCTTTGGGTTTTTTGCTTACTTTAATACAATTTCCTGTTTTGTTTTTTGTACTTGTGGGATTATATGTCACCTTCATGAGTAGGTGTGTTATGTTTTATGTTCTGACGTAATCCTGTTTCTGTCTGTGTGTATACAGGAGTCAGGAGGCTTAAAATTGTCAGTTTCAGTATCTCTGTGAACATTTTGATGATGTCATTTTTGTCTTTGACAGCCTTCAATCTGAGTTCAAAATCCTACATGGATTATTGCTGTTATTTTTGATCCAGTGTTAATTAAGGCAAGTTCCCTACTGCCACCTTCCCCTACAAGGAAAAGGACAAAAATAATTGTTACCTTGCTCTCCCAGCAGGGTCAGATACCCATTGTCACAGAAAAATGTTCTTGCATTTGATTAAGTTTCTCAACATCCATCCTGGATTTTGACACTCATGTGCCAAACAAAGATGAAGAACCTCATTTCTTTCTGACAGAATAACGTCTTTCAGTGGAATTCCAAGTGCAACATCCTGTTCTCCTGGTATGCGTAGTGTGCAGCGGGGTTTTATCATCATTTCCTGCACAAAATAGCATTCCCTCTCTAATGTGTTTGGTGGTGAGAGATGGAGATACAAAGATTTCAGATGCCATTTGTGAAGTCCACACTAACAAGTACTCCAGAGACTATAAGAAACAAAATTTAGCCATGAGAGCCCAAGGCGTGGATGCCACTACTGAAATGGAGGTGGTTCTTGCTTAATCTTTATTGCATTAGCTGAAAAGCAGGAGAGAACTGCTGTGTACCACTGACTTACATGTCAGTCTTGGAAGAAAAAAATTGGGCTTGTGTTCATACAACACTCTGACTTGTATGTACCACTTTCTGAAGAGCAGATTCTGGAAAATGTTTTCTCTTGTTTTTTTTTTTCCTTTAACCTGAAGTGCATTCAGCCAGAATCCTTATGTTGATGGTGGAATGGAGCCTCTGAATGTCTGTAATTATGACGTGAGAGACACTTGGAGCATGTCCAGAGAAGGGCAATGGAGCTGTGAGGGGTCTGTGACACAGGTCTTACAAGGAATGACTGAGGGAAATAGGATGGGACAGTCTGGAAAGAGGAGCTCAGGGGAGACCTTGTACAGTGCTCTGAATGGGAGGTTGTGGGAAAAAATGGGGATTGGCCTCTTCTCCCAGGTAACAGTGATAGGATGAGAGGGAATGGCCTCAGATTATGCCAGGGGAGGGAAAACTTTCTCCGAAAGAGTGGTTGGGCATTGGCACAGGGAGGTGATGGAGTCACTGTCCCTGCAGGTGTTCAAGAACTGGGAAGGTGTGGTATTAAGGAATGTTGTTAGTGGGGAAATACTGGTGTTAGGTGGGCAGTTGGATGATCTTACAGGTCTTTTCCATAATGATTCTATGATTTTAAAAAATAGATTTGGTGTACTGCAAAAAAATTAACAGTTGGAAGAGTCTCAGGTGGCACCAGTGATCTGAGTGCCTGCCATCGGTGATAGAATCAGTCTGCAGCAGCACCAGTTCCTGTGTATTTTTGTAACTGCTGAAATCAAATCTAATGCAGCTACTGAAGGTAAAACGTTTTAGGATTTGTTAACTTTTGTCTCCCTTATCATTTAGAGACAATAAATTCAGACATAAGAAGAGCAGAAGCAGAGCAGCATTCACATGAGCTAAATATTCCCATGTGCAGATGTAGGTGAGTGATTTTTAATCAGTTACTGGTGTGCCTGCACGTCAATGCTCGCTTACATAAACTGCAGTTCAGCTATACAAAGACATTAACAGCAACTGCAAAGAGAATCCTCCCTTTTCTGTATTTCAGTTCTTAATTTTGATCTTAAGAAAATCCTGGAAGCAAACACTCAGTCTTTTGATAATAGTGGTTTAAAGGTGTCAGGAAGCAGGAAACAAACAGAAGGGTGAGTGATCTCTTCTGCCTGCTCCCTTCCTTCCAGCCCCTATATAAACACCCGATGGTGCTGCTCATCGTGCTGCCGAGTTCTCCTGCCCCAAAGGGATGCTCTGGATTTATAGAGCAAACAGTTTTAGTTTCCCCAGAAACCCAGGTTTGTTTTAAAGCTGCCTTCGTTCATTTAGTGAGCATCTTCTTTCTTTTTACAACATGTGTTCAATACAGCAACTCTTTGCTTATCTTTATGAGGCGTACCTTAGCACAGCTGCTCTGGCATTATCCTCACAAAATGCCATCACAGACATTGGAGGCATAGCATTATTTATTAGCCCATTCTGGTGCAACTCGATTACTTTCTTTCCTTTAAAAGTGCTTGCTGCTGGAGCAGGCCTTTTGAGAGCAGCCAGTGTTCTTGTTTTTCTAACCATTTCTCTGCAGATGCCACACCTCACTTGAAAAGATATGTTCCTAAGCTGACCTTTCAGAGCAGCCCACAGCAGGTCGTGATTTGTCAGTTCCTTGTTCTAAAAGCTTCTGTTAAATGTCTTGCATGAGACTGATTGCAACGTGGCCTGAAGCAGCTGCTTTGCTTGCAATTTGTAACTCAGGCTGGCTGTCGGGGGAAGCAAATCTGAGCGATGGGAGAAAATGTACACGTGTTGGAGAAGTGCAACCTATCTTTTTATTGAGGCCCAATCTTTTTCCCCCAGACAGAAGTATGTAAACAGAGCCTGCACAGAGTGGGGAATAAACACATTGCTCACCAAGGGGATATCGGAACTTACCAAAACTTACCCTATGGATTTTGTAGGAGTGCATCAGCTGAAAACAACAACTCCTGAAAAATGAGGTGGGAATCATATTTAGAAATCATGGCTTTCACCTTTTGGTGGCTGTGGCAACTGCACCCAGGGCATGCACGTTATTTTATCACCAGATGTGAGATGCTGGCTGCTCAGCAGTGAGCCAAAGAGGAGCAAGGTTGTGTGAAAATAACAACAGGAGCTCTGGAGATGCAGTGGATGGAGTTCATAAGCAACTTTTAATCCTGCGTGCCCATTTCTGCCTGCTCCTT